GCTTCAAGTGCGAGAAGCAGCTGGCTACCAAGGACAGTGGCGGGGCAGGCAGCGGGGCGGGCAGCGGAGGGGGTAAGAAGGGGCCCGGGCAGCCCCCAAGCCAACCCCTGGGGGAAGGCAGCTCGTCGGGGGGTTCTGAGGGCTCGGCCGGCACTGAGTCCCCGGCCAGCACCTCACCATGCCAGGACCACAAGCGTGCCCTGGCTGACTTGAAGGGTGCACCGGGGTTGAGCCCTGGGGAACCATCAGCGTCACCGGCCCAGCATCTCCTGGCCCCAGCACACGCCGGCCTGCACCACGACACCCACCTCAAGCCCGAGCACCACTACGCCTTCAACCACCCATTCTCCATCAACAACCTGATGTCCTCCTCCGAGCAGCAGCACCACCACCCTCACCACCACCACCACCACCACCACAAAATGGACCTGAAGGCCTACGAGCAGGTGATGCACTACTCGGGCTACACCTCGCCCATGCCTGGTAGCCTGGCCATGGGGCCCGTAACGAACAAAAATGGCTTAGAGTCCTCCCCTTTAGCCGGAGAGACTTCTTACTACCAAGGTGTGTATTCCCGGCCCATAATGAACTCCTCCTAAAAAGGGAGTGAGGGGAAAACCTCCCCTGGCAAGGGGGTGAAAGCCCCTCCCGTACTCCCACACAGCCCCTTGAGCAGAGCGATGGACTATGAACGCTGTCGAGCACGGTACATATGCATATATATATATATCTTTTTTTTTTTTTTCCATTGGCTCCAGATGCTTGCATCCATTGGGGAAACAGCAGCCGTGTGTCTTGCAAGACGTGTTGGTCATTTCCCCCCCTCTTCTTCCAGCCCAAAGGAGGCGAGGGAGGGCCTGTGATTCCCTTGGTTTGCCTTGTGGGGTGGATGGGTGGGTTAGGAGTGAGGGGGGTGGTTTCTGTCGGGCTTATTTTATTTTATTTTATTTTTCGTTGTTGTCGTCACAAGGAGGTATAAATATATCTATTTTTTTGTGTGAAAGTGATGGGGGGGGGAAAAAAAGAAACATCAAACAAACACAAGTGAAACGAAACCCTCCTTCATTGTGAAACCCATGCTAGTTTTGAATCCGAGGACCAAAAGTCTTGTAACGTTGTAAAAAGGGG